TTTGCTGTTTCTTGGTAATTATGCAGCTGAGGTGTGCAACAAACAGCCTGGTTCCAGACGCGATGAGCGAATGACCCCTCGTACAATCCTGCTTCAGACATCATGTCACCCTGCCCCTCAATTCTACACAAGACACTATACACTTTAAACCAACCTGAAAACTGAAATCTCAGACATGGAGAGCCCGCCGTAAGCCCGTATCAACCACCCATAGCATGAGAACTCCAGAAAACTCCACAGCTCTCCGAAGCTTCAAAACCTAAATCTTGACTACACCTTTCAACCCTGTAAACCCTAAAACTTCAACACCCGTAAGCTTGACTCTGGCACCCTTATATACTTCAAGAGCTGCAGCCACGGAGCCAAAGAGTGAAGGTCGTGAACGTCTCGACTCCCCATTTGTCTGAGTTTGATATGGCTTGGGCTGGGGGCTTAGCTTGTAGGGGTTACAGGGCTTGCGGTTCAGGTTTATGGTTCGGGTATGGGGGGTTAGGGTTTAGGGTCTATGGTTCGAGTTGCAATTTGAGCTCGGAGATTGAGCTTGGAGGTTTTAAGGCATCAGGGCTCGGGACAACAGGATGTGGTGTCGGCTTTAGCACATGAGGCTTTTGAGTCCAAAATCCTACGGACGGGGGAAAGCGCTGCGTCTGAAGTACAGAATTGTACCGTTTAGGTTGTGAGCATGTAAATAGGGCCTTTCAGTAGAAGCCGTTCCTGCATGGCAGCTCAGGATCATCTGCGACATGGATACCTGGACCGCCGCACACCCACATCCCGAGAACCCCAACATGAACTATACGGTAAGGTGTAGATGACGCCTTGGTCTGGTTTCGGACGTTAGTTATGGTTTGCATGAACTGTTTCATCCACGGCTAAGTGCACATCTTCATCTATCCCACTGCCTTGCTGCCGTGAGTCGATACGGGAATCCCACGCCGATGAAGGCCACACCCCAGCAGACGAAACGTGATCCGGCGAGCCACTTGGCTGATCCCCTCGGCAGGAACAATATGGCAGTTTTTGGGGGGCTCTTGTGAGCTTTAGGATTCAAAAGGTTTCGTTAAGCGCCCAGGACCTGTATAATATATATATATATATGTGTGTGTGTGTGTGTGAGTACACTTTAGAAGCCTCTCTATCCTCTCTATGCCTTCGGGCCGAAGTCTATATTGTAGGCACAGGGTTCCCTTAGCGTAAGCTCCTAAAGCCCTCAAGCTCAGAGCCAGAAAATGCCAAGAGGATCTCTGTACAGGGGGAAAACCCCAAAGGTCCAGCGACTTTCCCGAGGCCCTTACTTGGAGCCCCAAGGGACTTAGTAAGTCGGTTATAAGTAGGGTTTTAATTGGGGTAACTCCACTTAGGGTACTTAACACTACTTACTGAGTCCCTTGGGCCTGCAAGTAACCCCGAATGCTCTGGTGCCTTTCTGCATCGGCGGACTCGACGAAGACGCCAAGGCGGCGCCATCGAGCCTTGTTCTAGACTATAGTGCGATTGTTTGTACGAAATCGTATTTTAAAGTATTCTGCTGTATGGCATAAATATGTAGTAGTCGATAATACCTTATATCGCTCCACCTGGCATTGGTTTGCCATCAAAGGAATCAAAGGGTGTTTAAGGCTTTGCTTTGGAGCCTTTGAAAATCCGTAATGTCTGCTCCACTTTAAGAACACACCTCAAACGCAAAGCACACACAAGTTATGTTCAACTATGTTGAAGATCAGCCTATTCAGGGTCAGTGTCCCCGACATGCCTTTGATAGAGGCCAAGTTTAGACTTTCGACTGTTTATCGTCGAGCTTGGCCTCTATGATCTGAACCAAACAGAGAGTCTCCGAAACCCTAAACCCTAAACCCAAAACCCAAAACCCTAAACCCTAAACCCCCCTAAACTCTCGAAACCCAAGGCCCGAAAGTCCCAGTGACCTAGCCATAAACCACCCTGCAAGGACCGTTCGACTCCGAGGTCCCGGCGTGGAGAACAAACAGCGCGGCGGTGGAGATCAAGAGGTAGGTCAAACACCACCAGAAACCTTTGACCTCGGCATAGTCTCACGGTTTAGGGTTAGGGTTCGAGGTATAGGTCAAGCACCACTAGAAACCTTCACCTCCAAAGAAGTCTGCACTTCGAGGCTCAGGGGACTATAAGTTATAGATAGATGGATCTACGAAGTGTAGGCCAAGGTTCCTTCAGACTTTTGCGACCTGAGGTTTGAAAGGGGACTATACCGGTTTAGGGTTTGGTGCTTGCTTGGCTGTAGGGTGCTGGTAGAGAGTTCGCTAAGGATTTCGGATGTCGTACCATTGGCCCTCCTGGGTCCGGCAAGAACGAAGCTAGGTCAAAGCTGTAAATGAGCCGATGTAAGTTCGAAATGAGGAGTTGTAGGTCTAAGGTTCAGAGTTCAAGGTTTAGAGTTTATACTAGGGGTCATTTTTTAGGGTTTAGGGTTTGGGGGGTCTCTCTGAGTTGGGATGCCAGAACTTCAGTTCTAGTGGCCGTTTAAATGCTAACAGGGTTTTCGCAAGGGTTCTGTCTAAAGAACCCTTACGAAAACCCTCTTCGAATATCAGCCGCTTTATGAGGGTACAGGTTTTTTTTGGGTATTTTTTTTGTTTTTTTTTGGTGTTTTTTTTTGGTTTTTGGGGTATGGATGCTAGAAAATGTATAACAGTCACAAGGATTGGTCTCAGGTCGAGGGTCCACCTGGTTTTTTTTTGGGTATTTTTTTTGGTTTTCTGCTCAGCGGCTACTTTAGTCCATAAGACGGTCAGTCAGTCAGTCAGTCAGTCAGTCAGTCAGTCAGTCAGTCAGTCAG